ATTCTTCAAATTCGCCACATTCTATAGCACCTGCGACTCCGATTTTTACCTGATGAATTACACAGAATCGAATTTGAATAAAAAATTGTAGGAAAGAAATGATGAATTCCTTCGATAAAACCGTCGGAATTGTCACCTGTTTTAGGATGACTTTTTCTTTAAACCTTTCATCCTTTTCGAGCTGCCTCCTCTTACTCCCACTGCTCCTGACCCTTTCTTCTACGGTGAAATTTTTAGGAACCACGACGCCGGAATAAACAACGCCAAACGACCCTTCTCCCAATTTATCTCCGATCAAGAAATCGGAACGCTTCAAGTTCCTTCTGCCAGACAAACTATCAAACACCTTCTGTGCAGGAGCTAGAAGATATGTATCGATGGCGCCAAACAGAACACCAGGCCTAGCAGTTAAGTAAATCCAAACCAAGCCAGCGAAAACCAAAACACCCCATTTTTCATTCTCAGGTAGATCCTCGGTAGCCCTCTGAAATTCAGCATACCCGGATTTGAAGATCGGGAACTGGTCTAAATGAAGTGTGGTTTCTAATAAATCATCGGAGATTTCATTGAAAGATGCGTTGAGTTTTAATGGGTTTCTCCTGAAATGAGTTGTGAAGGGGAGAATGGTGTTGGGAAATGTGGGTTTGGAAGGGGAGAAGCAAATGAAGTTGGAATAGAGTTTAAGGTTTGTTGAAGAAAGCATGGTAGCAGAAGCCATGGTTGGATTGTTTTCTTGAAAGGTTTATTGGGTGATTTTGTAATTCGTAGCGTCAGCAAAAGGATGAACTTTTGCCGCGTGGCTAACTGATGATTTATCCTTTTAGCCAGGAGATGTGTGGAGACCGAGTAAACACCACTGCTTGCACTTGTCTCGGGTCATTTTTTTCAAATGGGTAAATTACATGGTTGGTCCCTGTGGTTTGGGTAAACTTGCACGCTTAGTCCCTAAGCAAGATTTTGAACTTAAACCATCCCTATATTTGATTTTGTTTCGGATTCAGTCCCTGACCGACTTAAATTGACTATATTACCCTTATATTTTTATTTTTTTAACTGACTAATAGTTTTTTTTTTTATTATTTATAAATTAAGAGAAAAAGAAACGTGGCTTACAACCTAAACAAGAATCAGTTTTATCTCTCTCATGCCTCATGTCCTTTAAATCGACCATAATAAATTCCAGTGACTACCCGGTTTAAATCCGCAACCACCACCACCACCAAAATCCAGTTCTAGAACCCCTAACTATTGCAATTTGAGATCTCATTGTCCACCAGATGAAGAGGGCACTACCAGCCGTTCTTTTCTTTCTCTCTACAAATCGTTTTCTAACGATAAACGCAGGGGTCGATTCATAGGAGATGGATGTTTATTTTTGTTTATGGATTCGTCTGGGATTGTATCTTCTATTTAGGGATCTTATCTGATGCCTTGGGAGAAGCATTTTACTCGATTCACGAGAGAAGCACTTTACTCGATTTAGAGAAGGTTTTTTTTTAGACGGGATGTTGTATGAAGCGTACAAAATTGTATCTTGGATTCAGGTGCCATAGCTAGGGTTTCTAAGGGTTTTAATGGTGATGCTCCCAGTTTCAACAGATACAAGATTTAGAAATCTTTGTATCGCATCTCATCCCTCCCTGCCATCTCTATTGTCTGTGTAACCTCCGATAATTATGCTTCATCTTTTTCTACACCAACAAATCTTGCACCCGATGTCCGACCTAACCCCCACTTCTTCCTCCTTTGTCTTCTCCCTACCATTGCACCCCATAAAACTCTTCTAGTCGATTAGGGTTCAAATTAGCTGAAAATCCTAAAGAATCGACTATGTTTGTGCTCTTGTTAGACGGAATCGAGTCCAAGTCCTCTCAATTAGACTTCAAATCAAAATAAATTGAAGTTGTTGCATCAGATGTTTATTTTTGCTGCTTCAGATAGTTTTTTTATTGAATGGCTTTGGTCTCGGATTTCTAGGTTAGCGTATTTTTTTGGATCTGAACATCGATGTTGTTTTTTCTGGTGAAAAGGTAGTGGTGGTGCTCGTCGGAGGTTAGTGATGGGGGTGCTGGCCTGAGGTAGCTTTCCGATTACCAAATACAATGAGGGGGAGAGGATGGTGGGGGTGAGTGGTTTGGGTATTTCAGTTAATGGGATCCAAAGTTCCAAACTTTTTCTAACACATCTAATCAATATTTTTTTAATTAATTAATCATATGAAAAAGGTAAAAAAAAATCAAAAGGGCAAAATAGTCAATTTAACTCAACAGGGACTAAATACGAAACAAAAACAAATTTGAAGGATTGTCCGAGTTAAAAATCTTACTCAGGAACTAAGCGTGCAAGTTCCCCCAAACGACAGGGACCATCAATGTAATTTACCCTTTTCAAATCAAAAGCATCCACCTCTCTCATGTTAGCTCGGCCCCAAAAAAATTTCATCCTTTTATTGTCATAAAACTCGTTATTTTTGTAAGTTGGAATACAGTTTAAACAAATACTAAGGTAATGTTTGTTTTTTGTCTGCAGATCTGTGTGACCTCTTCTGTTTACGCCACGTAGACATTAGCTTTCGCAGACTGTTTGTTTTTTTGAAGACTGCAAACTTAAAAATGTCTGCGTGTCCTCTTCTTGGCGCAGATGTGGACCATAGTCATCTAACATCTTCAGACATCTTCTAGCCTAATATATATATATATATATATATATATATATATATATATATATATATATATTAATTTATATGTTTTCTAACTTTATTAATGATAAACAATTTGAAAAAAAAAAACATGATATTTTTGACAAATTTATAAATAAAAATTTATTACAATAATAGTCGTTGAAGTTGTTTATATAAATATGAAAAAAAAAATCATAATATATTCTTATATTTTTTGCCAAATTTTGTAAAATATTAATTAATACACTATCGTCAGTTTCTTGAGAAAATATTTATGGTACGTTTTTAATTAATTTAATTGAAAAATCGAAAGTTTATTTCTATTCATTTATGTATCAAATTCTTTGATCACTAATTATAATATTTAGTTATAACTTTGCAACCAAAATTATTGGTTTTTATCAAATATGTATGTTAATTAATACCATTTTTATTTTTATTTTTTATACAATAATACATAAAAGTTGATCTAGATTCGTTAATTATTTATAACAAAGTCATAAAAATATTTAAAAAAATCACTTTGGAGTTTAAAAAAATCACTTTATTTATATTTCAGTTTATTTTAGTAGCCCGCAGATGTTAAAAATAACAATCAGTCTTTTTTTTTCAGACTGCAGACGTTTGGTCTACCTCTTCTGCTGTAGAGGTCTACAGATGTGGTCCGCAGACTACAAACATTTTGCCTCAGAAAAAACAAACAACACATAAGTAGAATATTGTTCAAAGAAAACAATATAAAATGATCTCATTTTGTATACGGTTTAGTTATTATTATTTTTTTTAATGTAAAATAAGCCATTTAACTTATTGTGTTTTGAGAAATTTGCTAATTACTTGGTTAAAAATAGTCAAAAATGAACAAATTACACAAAATAGTCATTTAAATTGTAGGTGATTATAGGCCAACTATGAAATTAGAACTTTATCTACGATGTACAAGTCATTAATGAACAAATTGTGTATAAAAGATTTGCACATTCACAGATGAACTTCTATTTTGACCTAATCAATTTACGATCTTACTTAGCTTAGTATCAATTCTTTAAATTAAATAAAATAAAAATAATAAAAAAAAAACAAAAAAAAACCCCTCATTTTTGCATCTCTCAAGTTCGAAAAACACTCTCAAGGTCCCAAAACAAAATTTCTAAAAAAGTAACTAATAAGCTAATCATTTTTTGCTTCTTTTTATATAAAATATATCTATTTGTATGATTTCATAGTAAACAAAGTACGAATTCTTAATCAACCTAGCCAAATTCATAGTCAAACTTATGTTTAAAAAAAATGTAAAATCGTAGATGGAACAAAAACCATCTGTGAATTCATAGTCAACCTAGCCAAATTCACGTAGCATCTCCTAAATCGACATTGTAAGAGATTTCATTTACTTCTTGTACAAATCGAGCTTTTAAACCACAATAGCATCTTCAAAAAGGGTGAGTACATCATTCTTACTGACTTTTAAGTAAGTTTGAACCACTAGACTGACCTTTATATGTCATTGTGAAGATATACTTTGAATAGAATTAAGCATTACACATTATAATAAAAAGTTTCACCTAAAAGGATGAGTGTTATTTTCGCTGATTTGTAAGTGAGTTTGAACAATTAAACCGACATTTATTTATGTGTTGTATAAATCGAGCTTCCAAATCAAGATTTTAAACCACAAAATATCTCCTGAATCGGTCAATTGATTGACCTTACAACAAAATTGTAAATGTAATGACATAATTAAAAAAGAAAAAACTCTGTGTCAAAATAAATTTTTGTTGTAATATAATATATTTCTTACAATTTGAAACTCGGTGTTAAAACTGAAAATTTGAAACTTAATTATTTTATTGCAATTTGGGAAAAGTGGTTACCAAAAGAACCGGTCGTTTGACTGATATTGCAACAAAATTGTAAATAAAATGGTAAAATGGCAAACTCCAATAAGTCATTTTACATTTTACATATTTTGGTGCCCATGAGTTTATCTTGTTAAATCTTTGAATCTGTTTTTATTCCCACCAAATCCATGTTAGATTCACTATTGTGAGTTCAATAGGAAAATTGAATGAGATGACAAGTTTAGTTGTTATTCAATGAATAAAACTCTACCATAATAAGATGTCACCTTATCATTCAATGAATTTGAAGTTTAGTGGCTATTGAACTCTTCAATGGGAATAAGAAAAGTTTTCTTATCTTAAATAGATACTATAACTTAGCTTTTGAACTTTGTAGAGTTGAATGTAGAAAAAAATTGATTGAGTTGTATGGAATTTAAAAAAATGATATGGCAATCCATTGAATGCATTGTGGATGCCCTTGATCTCAATCCTTCCTTAATTATGTCATACTTAAATTGATCTTATACATTTGAAACTTGACAAACATGAATGGTAAAAAGTGAAATTTTTGTATCATAATTGAAAACTATGGTATCTCACAATTTGTACGTATAAAAAATTATTAAATTGGCTAACGAATATTATTTTTCTGTTGTTTGAAAATTTTCATGATGTTTCACAGATCTATATATAGTCAGCCACCATCTTTATATCAGCTTAATTTCATGATAAACCCAATTCTAACGAACATCAGTGTAGTGAATTACTGAACTCTGACTCTCAAGAAACGAGACTGCAGGTTTCACATATGTAAACCGCTGAAAGAGGGTGGTGGAGCCATTAGGACTGGATGCCGGAGACTCTGTTAGCGGCATGTCCGTCCAGCATTTGTCAAAGTTAGCCACACAATGGTCGCCGGAAACTTCAGGCCGGAAACTTGGCTGAATTTCTCGATTCTCCAGTTTCTTCCAGTTGATGGGCTTGAACCATTTATGCCGTTTTACTTCATCGCTTCCCACCGCACCACTGCCAAGTCTCTTGCTTGGATCCTTTTGTAACAACTACACAAACACACATATCAAATTTCGTCGATGTAAAAGTCAAACCATTTCACCTTGTAATAATGTCGATCGAAGAATCAGATGTTAGAAAAAGTGTGATTAATTACAGCTTTCAGAAGCGAATGTGCTTCGCTTGATAAATACGCAGGTAGCTTCATTTTCTCCTTCACTATCTTTTGTTGAATCTTTTCCCGATTCCCTCCACGAAAAGGTGGCTTTAATTGTAAGAAAAAAGAACAAGATTCATTTTACTCAAAGGTGTTTGACCGGCCCCTTATATCAAGTTGACGAATGGAATTTACCAAAACACCCTTAGATATAATATATACCTGGCCTGTGAGCATCTCATACAACAGGATTCCAACACTCCACCAATCTGCAGCCTTATCATGACCCTTCCCAAGAATAATTTCAGGTGACATGTATTCTACAGTCCCACATAACGAATTCGATCTTGCATTCGTGTCAAATTCTTTTGCTAGCCCAAAATCCGTAAGCAAAGCCTGAATATTTCACACACATATGCATGCATGGGCTGATGATTTTATAAAGAATACGGTTAATTACGATGTAGATTACAAGAAAAGACGTACATGGCCATCAGCATCGAGAAGAATATTTTCAGGCTTAAGATCTCTATGCATTATGCCATTTGCATGAAGGTGACAAACAGCCGAAACGATCTCTGCAGCATAAATACGTGCCAAATCCTCTCTGGAAAACAGACAAGTTACCAATTAACTGTTTAACTAATTGTTGGATTATATATTGACTGATGAATAATTCAGTGGAAGATGGAGAAGGAACCTAAATAGGCCATGGCGATGTAGCTGGAAGAAAAGGTGACCTCCATTTACAAAATCCAACACAAGGTAAAGTCTATATTTAGTCTGGAAAGAGTATCGAAGGTGAACGACAAAGGGGTGATTAATCTTTGTTAGTATATCGCGTTCAGCTTTCATATATTCAGCATGATTCTTCTCCAAAATCTTATCTTTACGCACAACCTTCATCGCATATATCTCACAAGTGTCTCTCTTTCTGACCTGATAAACTTTTCCAAACGCCCCTTTCCCAACGACCTTCATCACCTCAAAATCTTCAAGCCCAACACTCTGGACTTTATGATGATCAACCGATGCTTCAGCTACTACGATATCATCATATAAATCCTCCTTTTCATGTGAAATAACATCTGGTTTCTCAAAATCTTCATAAGTAGGTTCATTTGAAGCATGAGGTGGTAGAGGACCAAACACATCGGAGAAGTCGAACTCGACATGATCTAAGGGGAAATTGACATCCAGAGGACTTACAGGTGATGGTGAATTGTTCTTGGATGATTTGCAAGGTTCGTTTTTCATTAAAATGGTTAATTGAGAGGAAACCATGGTGGATTTTTTTCAAGTAGACAACGGGATTCTTGAAAAAGTAAGACAGAATGCAAACTGGAATATCGTTCGTGTTTCCCGCTTCACAGGAAACCTTGAATGCCACACTGTTTTTTGAACTCATGAAGATCTTGTTGTCGATTCTGCTTGCATGAATTATGAGACAAGTTAGAAAGAAAACCGCTGAAATTTACGAATGTTGGAAACTCGTTAAATATCATTCTATAAACACAACACAGAGAATCTTGTGGACAAAAGTACTAAAATAACAATCAAACAACTTATGGTAAAAGATCAAAGGTCTAAATATTTGAAGAACTCACAATATATATACAAGAAAACATTCCCACTTTGACGATGTTAATTATTATTATATTAAACCTACTAGGATTTTAAACAAAACAATTACATGATCATCAGTTGTTTATTCCAACAATTTCCCCGTAATAGCTTAAACAATCACAAAATCGAACAAGGGAAAACCAGCATTTTGTAAATCTATGACTGTTTTAAAAAAATAAGATTGAGGGTTTCCTTGTAGTGTATTCAATGTATTAATACAAGAAACTATAGAATTCAAATCGTATAAATTTAAAAAAGAGATTGAAGAAGAAGAAGAAGAAGAATTGGGTACCTTGGGAGGGCTGAGGAGAGAGTTATGGAAGGTGGTTTTTGATTTTGAGGCTTGTTCGTCCTTCGATGAAAAAGAAGATCGATACGAAATATTTGCGTTGCCGCTTTTTATTATCATCCGTATAAAACGCATATATATCTTCAGTTATTCTCGCTAAACACGTTTCCATAATTAAAGATTTAATTTAAATCTTTAACGTAATAATCAGTAAATCGCGTTTCATAGATTTTCTTTTGGGATTCTGATATTCGATTTTATATATATAAGATTAGTTATTTCATTGTTTAAGTTGTGTTTTAAAATATGATTTTTACCCTTTCGATTTCCATCATTACATAGGACGGTTTAGAAGTGAAATAACAAATTAATGTAGACATGTGGTCAATACTTATAGATTTAATAACTATATCAAATGTATACAAATATACATCATATTTATTATATTAATCCGATATTTTTAATATTTATATCAAGTTAAATATTTCATTAATTTTTCATTATAAAAGGAACGTAGGTTCTTCTACATCCTTTTAATTTAAAAGTTGAGCACACTGATTATGACATAATGTACGATATTCATATTCTGAAAACGATTACTACTATATTATAAACAAGATAAGATTTACATTTTAAAATATAGTATTCTTCTATTGGGATTTGGGGGAAGCTTTACGACAAATCAAATATCCTCATGTAGTTTGGTCCTATTCATCTTTCTAATCACCGGATCAAGACGAATGTTATTAGAAAAAAAATTAAATATTAAATATTATTTTATATATTTTTTCATATTTTTCCTTGGATCCATTTTAAATGATGATATGTGTTATATTTAATAAAATTAATAATATATTAATATTTTAATACATTTGTCACTATTTAACAAAGATAGTTAGGTAGAAAATATAAGATAAAATTTAATTTCCTAAAAAGATTAGGAGATTCTATGGTATTATTATTTTATATAAATATAAAGACAAATAAGGTATTTAATTTTACTAAAGTTCCAAAGTACATGCATGTATGGCATGATATGCATCATCAAACATGTGTCATATGGCAGTAACTAATGGAAACACTTGTGATCATATATATGCAGAAACTCGACACCTAAAAAACACTTGTTACATCAATGAGTTTGACGACATAGATTGCTTTGAAAAGTAGTTTGTTGAATTTTTGTTTTTGTTTTTATTTTGAAAGAAGTGTCTCTTAACGAAAATCAATTGTTCTATCATACATAAAAGATTTAGCCAAAAAAAAAAAAAAACATTAACTTTTTTCTAAACTTTTGAGATTTTTTTGGACTTTTTTTTATCAAAAAACCGTAAAATTAAATATTTGGTCTTTGGGTACACTTGCACATGCATCAATACCAATTGTTAAAAGGGAGTTATAACTATACTAGAGTAAAGAAAATCTTAGCCCTTACAAATCCAACAATTAAGTTAAAAAACCAAAAAAAAAAAAAAATCACCGAAACACACGAAGCGAGTGATTTGTACACGTAAAACCACCATCAACAAACAAATTGTCCCCGCTTACATACCTCGCATCATCACTCGCTAAAAACAACACCGCATTCGCCACGTCATCAGGCACCAACTCCACACCCTGCAAATTCGCATTCTTCCCGGAAAAAGCCCGAAACCCCGCCTTGGCATCATCCGTCCGTTCATCCTCATGAAGATGTGCCAACGCGAGGTCCGTCAAAACCGCATACGGCGACACACAATTCACACGAATCCCATGTTTCCCAAGCTCCGCCGCCACACTCTTCGTCAACCCCACAACCGCGTGTTTGGACGCGGTATACGCATGCGGGCCCACCCCTCCTATAACACTTGCAACACTAGCAATGTTAACAATCGAGCCTTTTTTCAACGGGATCATGATCCTAGATGCGTGTTTCATCCCGATAAACGTGCCCTTGGTGTTGACATTGAAGACTTGTTCGAAGGTCGAAATGGGGAATTCACGTATGTCGGGACATGGTGGCCCGCCCATACCGGCGTTGTTGACCATGATGTCGAGTGTGCCAAAATTGGAGATTGTGAAGTCGACTGCACGGGAGATGTTGTCCTCGATTGCCACGTCAGCGTGGATGAAACGGGTGGTGGGACCCAGGGTTTTGCATAAGTGTTCGCCGAGGTGGGAGTTGATGTCGACTATACAAACTTTTGCACCGTGTTTGTGAAAAAGACGCACGATGCTCTCCCCGATACCGGTTGCACCTCCGGTTACTAAAGCGACTTTTCCTAGTAATCTGAAAAAATGATATAGTATTTGATGCAAATAGTCATTCGTCTATACATATTATTTTATTAAACTTAATATTTGTGATCAAGTAAAATATATATGGTTAATGAAATATCAATTTAATGTACAACATAGTATTAGAATTCAGTTGAGAGTTATATGCGGTCTAAGTTGAAGGACAGGAGCAAAGTATGAAAGTGTATATATGAAAGTTTAAATATTAAGGATTAGTATGAACCTTTGAGCAACAAGAGGCGAATCGCTAGAACCAGCAGTTGTCATTTCAATCTCACTGTAATGAATCACAAGAAAAATATTTGATTGCAATTCAAAATGACGTGTAAATCAGAAAAAAAAAAATTGTCAAATTCAAATGAATTGGAGATCAAATATAGAAGAAATAATGGCGCTAAACATAACATGATAAGATCTAAATTCAATTTCGTTTTTGAGAACATCGATTAATGGGGAAGAACAAGTAGAATATGATTCTATCACACTTCATATTAGTTTTGATTGTAGAAAATAAAAAGTACAGTAGCTGTAACAAAGGTGAGATTGAAGGGTATTTTGGTCATTCTTTTAGTTAGGTCGGTCTCATGGAGAGTATTAATAGGAGATCGATGTTAGGGAGTGAGTATCTTTGGATGTATTAAGTTAGAAGTCACGCTTCTAGGAGAATCTTGGCCTCTCGAAAGCCAAGAAAATATTGTAATCATCACTTTTGATTTGGGCATAGAAGTTAGTGTATCAATTCTTGTAATTCTACCACAGTTCTTATAATTGGTATCAGAGTAGCATGATCGACCATGGGAATTCGATCAATCAATAATCGTGTGGAAGAAACTGAAAGTGTGCATGCATCTTTATCGACGAATCAAACTCGATTTAATTCCAAACTGGAATACATCGAAAGCAATCTAAAAGCGAATTCTGAGAGATTTGAGAACAAATTCGAAGCAATTGAAGGAAGCATACACTCTATTATACAACAATTAACAAGAATGTCCAAGAATCCAGAAGATTCCGGAAAAAAAAACACCAAAATTAAGTCAATTGGCGCCATATGAAGAAAATTGATACATGTGGACACCACTGACTTCATCTAGCACCGATTGTCCAAATTTTGGTGTATTCTTGTCAGAATCTTCTGTATTCTCGAACATTCTCGTTAATTGCTGCATAATAGCATGTAAGCTTCCTTCAATTGCTTCAAATTTGTTCTTAAATCTCTCAAAATTGGCTTTTAGACTGCCTTCAATTGATTCCAGTTTGGAATCAAATTGAGTTTGATTCGTCTGCAAAGATGCATTCACATTTTGAATTTCTTCCAGACGATTATTGATTGCTTGAATTCTCATGGTGGATCCAACAGCTCTGATGCCGATTGATAAGAACCACGGTAGAATTACAAGAATTGATACACTAATTTCTATATGACCGGATAAAAAGAGATGATTACAAGACTTTCTTGGTTTTCGAAAAGCCAGCACTCTAACAGAAATACGATTTCTAATTGAATACGTCCAAAGATACCGACTCCTTAACATCGATCTATCAATACTCTCCATGAGACCGATTTAACTAAGGGGCTGTTTAGCAGCCTATGAATGATTCACAGGCTTTCTGAGTGAAAACATGTTGTTTGGTTAGGCCTCTAATGGTTGTGCTGAATTACCATTTTACCCTTTTTGTTTAAAAAATTACCATTTTACCAACTTAAAACTTATTACAAATCAATTGCCATTCTTGCTTTCCACAACACAAATTGACTTCAATACATATTACATCAATTACTCTCAAGACTATATGAAATTCCCAAACCCATTTCAAGTTTTTAGCCAGAAATCATTCTAAACTAAAAAAAATGACAGGTCTTATAGCGATTAACACATAACATTCACTTTTAAGAAGGGATTATTGTGTTGTAGTTTGAAACAGAAATTTTTTACCATAAAAACACAACATATTACAAGAAAATATCAAGTTGATGCCATAAACCAAAACTATTATCCATATTTTACTTTACTGAGTATAAAATGCATTAGTTAATAAAACGAAAACCACCAAAAACAAACAAATCAGAAAATCAGATCATGTCAAGCTGGACTGTTATCAAACCACTGATACACATCATCAGAAAATTTACAGACAACACAACTGGTGCAAAAAGAAAGACAGGTCAATTGCTACAAAGTCTCTTCTACAAGTCCAACCATTTTCCAACAAAACATGAAGTTTGGGTTTATTAAACATGAAAACCGGCAGTTTAATTAAGATAGGTAGGTGCAACAATGCTGTTGTACGAACATCACAATCTGGTGAAGCAGTAAATGAACGGAGATGGATAAGAACGGATGCTAGTTCCTTTGGAAAAATTGACAGATAAAAAACTAATTCCTGGAAGAAAGGAAGCGATTGCTACTAATTCACGGCAATAACTCCAACAATCTTCGAGGAGCACAAAGGCGAATCAAATTGAACTTCGCAAGAAGCGTTATGAGATAGGTAGGTTGCAACTATGATGTCAGACAAACATCAGAATTCGGTGAAAAACCAGTGAATGGATGACAGTGAATGGGAATCAAAAGCTATTGCTTTGTTCGATGTTCAATCACCCCAAAGGAAATCGATTTCAGAGATGGGGAAGAAAAGCTTACCGGCGACGTAGTGGAGGAAGGCGTTGGAGTGGCGGCGTTGGTGGAGGAAAGCGGTGGAGTGACCGAAGGTTGGATTCACTCAAGGAAGTCGACTGTGGAAATCGTATGGGATGCTGTGGGAGTAGAAGGGTATTACAGATCTCCAACGTTAAACATCTCAATACTGACACCTGTATTATTACATAAAGTTTTATTGATACCTTCCTTTATCGCTCCATTAATTAATTAATTAATTT